ATATATATAATGTAAGCTACTGAGCTTCATCTTCTGGGCAAGAATACCAAGTTAGTCTCTCATCATAAAAAGCAATTGTGATTTGAGGGCATTTCATGTTTGCCTCTTTTGCCAGCACCGGCAGCCTCATCTGAATTTCTGAATCTTTCTATTTCAGGAGAAACATCAATTCTCCGCTGCTATCTGTGGCGCCAGTTGATAGTTCAGGATCAACTCTAGCAAAACCTTTAGGTTTGTCAGCAGCATTTCTTTTTTTTTTTTTCTTTCACTTGCTTTCATCAGATTCACTGCCAGATAAAGATTTTCTTTTTGTACCATCTTTTTCTTTACCAACTTTTTGCGAATTAAGAAATACTTCAATTAACTATGGACAATGTAAATTTTCTTCAAGTTTCCATGTATTGTTAGCATCTGTAAATCCCTTCCACTTCAGAAAATACTCCACCTTCCCATTCATGTTATGTTGGTCCAGTACTTTTTCTACCACGAACTCTTCAGGTTCTACTTCCTCAACTTTTTAACTTTTTCCATTTTGTTTCTTTCCCATTTTTTGCAATATAGTTTCATTTTATTTATTTATTTATTTATTTATTTATTTATTTATTTATTTGGCGGAACCGGGGACTGAACTCAGACCCTTGCGCTTGCCAGGGAAACCCTTATTCCACTGAACCATCTCTGCAACCCCTCAATGTAGTTTTATTGGAGGAGGCCATTTCTTACTGTAGACTTTAAGAGCTATTATTCACCATCTGCGCAGTCTCAGCCTGTGCGTGCACCTGCAGCTCCTGTACCTTTCCTTGGGTGGGCGAGACAAGCTGCAGCACCTAGCATCACCTTTGTGTGGGATATCTTAGCGTGCTATCACCGCTGAATTCCCCAAACCTCCGTGATATGGCTGTTCCCTCAACATATATAAGTTCGTCTACTCCCACCTGGCATGCATAGAGGTTACTTAAGAAACTAGAGTACTTACTACTTCCTGCTCACCAGATACATTAATTTAACATAGTGTCTATAACATAAATGATTCATGAGAATGTTGTCCTCTGGGAAATAAAACTAGTCACTGTTTTTCTGTGCTATTACACTACAGTTATAGAGCATTAAAGTAAGAGTGAAAAATATTTGTTAGAGAAAAGACACAGTACTTATTTATAAATCTATGTTTAGGAATTACATAAATGAAATGCAAACTCAGGAGGTTTTAGTGAAGAATAAGTACTCCATATGAAATTAGGCTCAAACCATGTGTCTTAGGCTCTGGCAGAGAATGTGTCTGTATTTTGTTAATGCCTTGAGACTTTGCAGGGGACTGAAGTTGAGAATAGCAGACAAATCTGGTGGAAGAAATTTCAAAGAATTCCAAAGTTCAGGCTGTATCACTGGTATTTCTGAGTGATTTTTAAAGAGATTTATATTTAATAAATAGAAACAAAAGCAAGTTTGAAAAAAATTTATCTTCATCATAAAGTACTTACAAGTGCCTTAGAAAGGGAGGCTGCTGAAAAGATGAACGTGAAAAAGAAGCCATGTATTTTGCAGTATGACAATAGGAATGATCTCTTTAAGGAACCTCAGTGGTCAGAAAAATTCTACCTTGTACAGGCTCATGGGTACAAATGTGAAAGATTTTGCTTTGAGAAAAGCCAAGGGTACCCAGGGTACCATGCTTAAAAAACCCTCCTAGGCAATTTGGTTCTTTGGGATTTGGCCCACAGCATTCAAGCATCCAGGCATTTAGAGAGGGTTCTGCAGCCATATGACCAATGTGACCTGATGATTTTTGAGCTGGCAGCGGCCTATCACATCATCCCTGTGCTGGTTTTATAGGCATGCACAGTTGAGTTGTAGGGCCAGGGAGGCTTCTACCGAGATTTCAGAAGAACATGTGGGAGGCCAGGCAGTGTCCCCGTGAGATGGCAGTGCATGAAGCTATGAGAGTGAAGTCAAAAGTGCTGGAATATGGAGCTCTGAGATGTAATGTTTGCCCTTCTGGCTTTCAGTATTGATTTGGTGCCTGTCTATTCTATTGTTGCTTCCTTTGACCATGGGAATGTTTACCCTATCAAATGTTGGAAGTGTTTAGCTTTGTTTTTAATTTTTATAGCTAAGAGTTTGTCTTAAATCTCCGAAGAAATTTTGAACTTGAACTTTTCAGTAATGCTGAAACTGTTATTACTTCAGGGACTTGTAGAGATGGACTAAATTATTTTCCATAATGAGATATGCACAAGTCATTTACAGGCCATGGTTTCAGTATTATGGTTTAGATTGACAGTGTCCCTCCAGAGCCTCAAAAGTTATAGGTGGGGCTTGTGGATGGTGACTGAATCATGAGGATTTGTACTTATCAGTGGAGTCATCTGCTGGTGAGTTCAGCTGAGTATGAGGTCAGAAGGTGGGGTGTGGCTGTAGAGGCAGGTTACTGGGCATGTGAACTTCTTAAATCTCCAATTTCTTTTCTTAGAGATTGTTTTAGACATCATTCTTAATATTTTTAACATTGAATACTCAAGCAGGCATGCTTTTCACCTCATGTTACCAATATGATTTCTTTTATCTCTCATATTCCCTAGCAACTTTAGTAGAATTTGTCTGTTTTGTTTAATAATTATCAATTATCCCTAACAGATGGTGTATTTTCTAGTCTATTTCAAATCTTGTTATAGGAAGGTTGTCTTGATATATATATATATATATATATTAATTAATTAATTTATTTATTTATTTGCAGTACCAGGGATTGAATTCAGGACCTTGTGCTTGCCAGGCAAGCGCTTATTCACTGAGCTATCTCCCTGGACTCCTGAAATATGGTTTTGATCAACTGATTTTTGTCTGTTGTGTTTTCTTCAATAACAGCCAATTTTGAATATCAAATTTTGAACTATTCAACAAAAGTTGAATGCCTCTTCTGGGTTTTTCTTTTTGGTGTTTTATAACTTGTCTGTTTTTCAAATTAAATTCTTTAAGGGTTTTGCATTGATATGTAGCTGTTCCTTAATTTGCACATCAGTTTTGCTTATAGCCACAGTAATGTCTTTAGCATTTCAACTTTAGGATGTGTGCTGGTAAAGTGAACACTGAAGGGTATCAGGTGATGAGGTATCTATTTTGTTCATAACTAAATCTTGTGAAATTAATGAAACAGATGTAGTAAAATTTAAGGCATGAGTGCTAACTGAGTTTTTTTAAAAATTATTTAGGTTCTCGAAATTCATTTCTACAAATCATACTGCCAGAGAAACTCCAAGAAAATGCAAGTGATAATTCACAAGTAAGATTTATAATAAATTTTTTTTGTCTTGCTAGTGTGAGAACCTGAAAGAATAAATAAAATCTGAAAGGTACAATAAATACTGAGAACAGGAAGGAATCTGTTTAATAGCAATGAAAAACTGGGATGAGGAAAGAAACAAAAGAAAGAAGGGAAAAAAGATATATTTATGTATATATGCAGGATAGTTTGGATAATTACACAGCTGATTTCTTCTGGTGTTTTGAAAGGAGCAATTAATGCTTAAATTTTTCTCTTTTTATTCATTTTTTAATTTCTTACAACTTTTTTAAAAACCAAGTCTGCAGGTTTATATCTGGTAACCTAAACAACTAATTGGAAGATAACACCGTGAGATACAGCAGCTATTGTTGAATTCCTACAATTTTGTTTAGTGAAATATTGTATAGTTTCTAATGCTTTTCTTTTTTACTATTTTGTATTTTTTTAAAAGACATTTTTATAATTTAAATTATGTGAATTTTCTTGTTTTTGTTACATATCTATAAAGTACATCAATCTCATTGTAGTATGCATGTAAATATATAATATTATCACTGATAAGGAATTTCAAGTTCAATAATAAGAAATGTGTAAATTAGAATGATCCACTTACTTTCACATTCGTCATTTCTTCATGGTAAAATATTTTTAAAAGTTCAAATATAGGAGCTGGGGAGATGGCTCACTGGAATAAGC